CACTCCACTTCCGGTTCTTGAATGTATCACGTGATCTTGTCACGTGATCAGCAGAGGTCACCACGACCGCCATCATGACGTTGATGACGATGGCGACGATGATGATGATGATGCTGATGACGATGATGATGATGGTGACGATGAAAAAATTTCTCATTTCCCCACAATACATTTCCTAATTTTTAACATTTTTATTTATTTTAAAATGAATCTTCAAATAATTTAATTATTATTGTTACAACAACAACAACAACAACTACTACTACTACTACTACTACTACTGCAGCTGCTGCTTCGGCTGCTGCTACTACTACTACTTCTTTACTATCACTACTACCACCGATAACCTTTGTGTAACCTTTTTTATTTGAAGTTACATAACAAACTCAATTATTGAATAATCTTCCAACATTCAAGACACACCACACGCATACACACACTCACACACACACACACACACACACACACACACACAACTGCATTTACTAATGCAGCTACTACTGCTACTACAGAAACTGTTGTAAATACACACACACACACGCACTCACACATATATACACACACACTGCTACTACAGAAACGGCTGTACACACACGCACACAAACACACACACGCACACACACAAATTACGTCACATCTATCGTGTAAATACATTTTTGCATCGTTATTTAACGTTTCGCATCCTTAAGAATGAACCCGAAGCAGGTATATTTCGGGTATTTTGAGGTATGCGCACTGCATTGTGTGGCATTGTATTGTGTGTTAATGCTAGTTGTGATAGTATTACCATTAAAATTATCATTAAGTATCTTTTAATTAATTAATTAATTTCAGAGTTATTAACGCAGACAGACAGCCAATGTGAATGCACCAGTGATTTAAAAATGTTCAAGTTAAATAAAAATCAAAGTTTTGCCCTGATTTTCATCCAGACATCTTAAATTCCAAACTGTTGCTTCTTAAATCTTACTTGGCCACCCTCCTTAGACCAAAATTTAATTTTAAACACTCTAATTAATTAATTTATATGGTTGAGAGTGAACGAGTCGCAGTGCGTGTATCCAGATGTGGCCATTGCACTTCGGATGTGCCAATACATCCCTGCTTGGGAACTTTTCTTCCTCTTGTTAAAAGCGCCTCATAAACTATTTGCGCTCAACAAAGTCGGAAGAGTGGCTAAAACTTCCTTGCAATCCTGGGTGGGTATTGAAAAACAATTTTGCAAGGGTTGAGCCTCAACTCCATCATTCGTGAGTTGGCGCGCGGAGCACCTTCTAGTAAAGTTTTGAAGTAACTCTCTTGTTGACCGTTTCGTGCAAATCCACTCTTCACTGATGTTACATTACATAGACATTATTAAAGAAGGTTCCTAGCAAAAGTGTACTGGAGAGGTTGCTTTCATTTGAATTTAGCTTTCTTAATCTGCGGGTGCCTCTAGACGGTCTATTCTTAACTCGAGACGAGACCCTGGGCCGGCTTTAGGCATAGGCAAACTAGGCAGTTGCCTAGAGCCACCAAGTGTCAAATCTTCATTCACCACACAATTTGCTAGCGGTACATCTTCTACTGCGTTTTAAAACACTTTGATGAATTAATCCGACTGCAGACCACCAAAATGTCACCATTAGTTCCATCTTATTATTAAATATCCACTCAGAAAGATGATGATGATGGTTGTGGTGGCGTATATCCCGCTCTGGGCTAGACACAATATCTGACTGCCACTTAAGAAGTATCATTTCATTTTGAATGACTTTCACTACGGCCGATAAAAGGCGAAAAAGTTCTTCATCCACGAAACCGCACGATTAACATGGCAGCATCAGATCTCAACTGCTCGCCTTCGTCCAGTTCCTTATCAATGCCACCGTAAAAAAAAAGGAAAAAATAATAAAACGAAGACGCTAAGATACTTGGTGTAATTTTACATTTTCAATACTACTACTACCACTACAACTGCTTCTACTACTACAACTGCTTCTACTACTACAACTGCTTCTACTACTACAACTGCTTCTACTACTACAACTGCTTCTACTACTACAATTGCTTCTACTACTACTACTACAACTGCTGCTACTACTACAACTGCTTCTACTACTACAACTGCTTCTACTACTACAACTGCTTCTACTACTACAACTGCTTCTACTACTACAACTGCTTCTACTACTACAATTGCTGCTACTACTACTAACAACAATGACGATGACGACTACGCCGATGATGATAATTAAAATGATTGGTGTCATCATTAGTGTGCTTGTTTGTTCGAACGCTGTCGAATCGCTGAGGTTATTATTAGCCATTCATGCAATCGTCGTCGCCGTCGTAGCTTCATGATCGTTGAAGTCATCGTCACACCCGCCATTTTCACTATCATATCATCATCGTTTGACCACCACCACCATCGTCACCATCATATCAGCGGCTGTCATCATTATGAACATCGCCAGCACTACGATTGATGCCATTCTGCCCTTTTATTTTTGGTCATCATCATCACTAACAGCATCATCATCATCATCATCATCACGGCCGACGTAATCACTCACCCATTGATGCGTGGCGGAAGTTGGAGCAGAAACCGGAAACGGAAATAAATCAAGAAAAGAAAAGCGGAAGTGACGTAGTTATGTTATTGTTGGCCTTTGTTGACATTTGTGGGAATTACCCAGAGATAATAACATTGCTGTTTTACCGACATACTAACGTTCATGCATGCATGCATACATACATACATACATGCATACATACATACATACATGCATACATACATACATGCATACATACATACATGCATACATACATACATGCATACATACATACATGCATACATACATACATGCATACATACATACATGCATACATACATACAACAACATGCATACTTATGGAAAGAGATTGTACGAAAGTAGCTAACAACATTACGCTATGCATGAACACTTTTAGACGAAAGATAACGAGAAAAACAATTTTGCTTAAATAGTCGTACAAATCCAGCTTAATTAGTTAATTATTCATGTAATTAATTTATTCAATGATATAAGATACAATATGATACAACAACATCAAGAAAGACGAGCCTTGTACCGTTGCATGTATAACACTATAAAATAATGTATAGGATTATATAGATATACGGTTATATAGATTCCTATATAGTTATGTAGTTATTGATTATATATAGTGTTATATACGGTTGTTAATATGTATGATATATATATACAGTGCGGCTCAGAATGATAGGAGCGGTTGGTATTTTCCATTTTCCTCAAAACCATTGTACCGAACTAATTAAAATTTTTACCTACAATTTTCAACATTTAAACAAACAATGAAATACAAATAAATTATTGTTTAAAAAAATATCAATTCAGATTATTCAATAAATACGATTTTTATAACAGGTCAAAATGATAGGAACAAAGGCCGCCTGAAGAAGTCCTGGTCGCAGACAAGCGAACGAACAAGACATGAAAGCTCTAAATTTAAATGAAATTGATTCAACTGATCGCCTAATCTGGCGCAAAAAAATTCATGGCAAATAAAACAACGTCCTACCTCGGGGGAACTGGGTCTCCGGATGCTAAACGAAGATTGATTGTATTGTTGCATATATATATATATATATATATATATATATTATATATATATATAGAATATATAACTCTTTCCAAATAAGTACTGTCGTACCGATGTAACAAGGTTTAAAAATAACTAAATGCGACAAACCTAACAGAAATAATATAAACAACTTGACACAGCTTGACGAATAAATTACACGGTAAAACAAAAAAAACAAAAGGAAATTGCTTCCACATGAATGGCATTAATCATTGTAGTATGAAGCAGCAGTATTAATGTAGTTGCATTAGTACATTAATATGAAGAGTAACTCACTCTCAATCAGTTTACATCGCGGTGAAGTAGTGTAATGGTTGCAGTAAATTTACGACTGAATGAAGTGAGCAAGAAGAAACTTAATCAAAACAGTAAATGAATGAATGAATGAATGGAATGCATAGCAATATAAATGAATGAATGGGAATGAATGAGAATGAATTCTTTCATTATCATCATCGTCGTCGTCACGGAAAACTCTTTGATGTGAAAATATCCCAGCACTCGTGCAGAGCAATCTGACTGTTGAGAGTGTTGGTGGGGAAATATGTTTATCGTTGCCAAATTAATTCTCACTAAATAATGACGGTTATTAAAATATTCATAGATTTATGACATAAGGGAGCCTAGAACTTAGGTGCCTAGAGCGTAAAATTAAAAAAGTGCACATCTATGACAATTCAGATTCACTCCAACTTACAGAAAATGACAATTTTATCCTAAAAATTTTATTCATTTAACATTAATTTAACTTTTAGTTACATTTGATCAAACTTTATTAACGAAGGTAAATGAGTGTTTAAAAATGAAACCAAATATTGAAAAGTAGTTATAAAAAACGAAGTCCTGACCAGTCAACAATGAATGAACTCTTGGGAACGCACGAAGAACTAGTATCAAGAGAGCTTGGTCCCACACCTAAATTTTTCAGGGCTGTTTAAAAGTTAATTTATAACTAAATAAGATTACTCATTATACAATGTTACACAACTAATAGTCAATTATTAGGATTTATTAAATTTCTTTTTTAAAATAAGTAATCATGTCAACTATTTGTTCAATCGAAGCATGCTGTATAAATTAAAAACAACAACCAACCAGCCAACCAAACAATCAGTTAACTAGTCAATCATCCAACTAACAACTCCAGACACAGACCAACTGCACATTGTTCTTTAGTGAGACAGCCAGTCCTGCCAGTGTCCAAATTGTCAAAAAGAATTCCCAAATCCTCTGCCTCGATTAGTGAATGCTTCGTTAACTTTTTTATCTGGCGCTGTATGTAAGCAAATGGATCTCCTGAAACGAAAGCAAATGTAAATATAATGGAGAATATAAAATACCAATTAAACAACGGAGATGTAGTAATCAAATGCAATGTAATTATAATTTAATAATAATGGCTATGTAAACTGTAAGGTAAAATGTTAGTAAACTGTAAAGGCTTAACTGACTGTTTTCAAATGCAAAACAAATAAACTCACCGACAGACAACATACAATATGGATGACAACAATTCGAAAATAATTAATATTATTAATTTATTTATAATAATAACTATTTCAAACTTTAAATTTAAAAACTACACAAACTTGGCTGCCTAAAGACCAGCAGAGCGGTAATATTCAGAAAAAATTGTTCGAGTTTGTGCTTCTCGATGTATTCTTTGGCCTCAGACACCTTCTCCCACTCGACATTTAATCCATCAAAATTCATCTCAAATTAGGAAATTAGTGAATACAAAGTTTGTCTTCATGGAAAAGCACACAGAAGTTTAAATTTTAGATGGCGGCCCGCTCTTAAAACGAAATTTCTCAAAGACAAAAAACAAATTAAAAAAAACGTTTGGACAAAGATTACATATCTTTGTTACGCCAAGCCCAAACCCACTGATACAAATTTTTATTTAAAATTTTAACAAATAGTAAATAACAATAAAATAATAATTATAATATAATAATAATTATTACAACTACCGTAATAAAAATTACTAAAAAACTATAAAAATAAAATATATTATATATATATATTTAATTAAAATTATTATAAATTTTTTTATAGGTAGTTCGGGAAATTAATAGCCTCCAGACTAGAAATATATATATATATATATATATATATATATATATATATATATAGAAGTAAAAATGTTTTTTGACAAAAATTTATAAAGGAAAATTTTTTTAAAAATTATATAAATGTAAAACAAAAACGTTATATATATATATATATTATATAATACATATTATATATAATGAATGTATGTATATAATATATAAATATATATATATATTTATAAGGAAATAATGCTTCTAAATAACTTTAAAACAACATAACACCATGAAAGAAGTGAAAATAAACAAAATGAAAAAACACAAAGTTGTTGATTTTGTTGTTGTTGTTGATAAAAGGGGTTTCTATGTTGTAAATTTTATTGTTGTTCTTCTTCGACAGCCCCTAAAAACATATTTCAAATTTGATTCTACAGTCCTAGCGTTCTTTCTCAACCCTACAGATAGCTTTTTATCAACTATGTAACAATATATACTAATATATGAATGAAGGTGTGTTCGTTCGTTTGTTTGTTGAACATCGCTGAAGTGGCGCTTTAAAATCTATTTGATTGATTGATTTGTGCTGTGTATGTATAAATGTATGCATGCATGTATTTACGAATGTATTTATGTACGTATGTATGTATGTACGCATGTATGTATGTATGAATGTACGTACGTATGTAAGTACAACAACTTGCAAACAGAATAAACTGTACTAATTGCGCACAAATGAACAAACTAACAAGCACATACATTGAAAAAGGTATTAATAGTACAGGTATTATACAAAAGAAACACGGATAGACATACAAAACGAGTAGAGATACTCAAACAAAATAAATACAACAGATTAGAGACGCATCGAATAGTGAGTGAATTTAGCCGAAAGCTGAATAACTGACTCCCCCAATTCGGCCAATGCTGAAGGGTGAAGACCGAAAAACCTCGAAAATTACAAAAAATAATTCTTTAGAGTAAAAAACAGTCTACGGGAAAAAATTTATTAATTTCTATCCAATTTTTCATCATATTCACTCACATTTGAATCTCTTGTTCAATTTCTAATTTTGAAACAGCTACGACGATGACCGAAATAAATTTTCCGCTAAAAATAATCAGCGACTTTCGTTCTGGAAGCAGGAAATAACAGGAGCTAGAACGGGAGTTGCCTGATTCGGCTTTGGGACCTTCACAATTTCGCCCGGATACTCAATGTGGTTGGCAAGCCCGAGTACTCGGTGCGTCTTTAAAAATTCCACAGCGTGCAAAGAGAATTGATACACACACAAACTTAGATACACGTACAAACTTAGATGATACAGGGACAAACTTAGATACACATACAAACTTAGATACACATACAAACTTAGATACACATACAAACTTAGATACACATACAAACTTAGATACACATACAAACTTAGATACACGTACAAAGAATGCAAACATGGATACGAAATCTAGTAAATAAAAAAGATAGACACTGCAACAAATATTAAATTGCTAATGAAAAATATACACACATACGTACACACACACATACACATACGTACACACACACATACACATACGCACACACACATACACATACGTACACACACACACACACATACGTACACACACACATCAAATATAATGCAATGATGAATCAGAGGCATAACATAGCATGCATAATAAAAGGACATTTTGTAAGTAAAACCACAAACACATATACCAACACAAAGACAGACACTAAGACAAACATACACACACACCCACACACACATAAATATACACACACATATACACTCATTCATATAACTCATTTATACAAATGTATGTAACACATACTTACGACTATTTATAAACTATATTGCATTTTCAATAAATTTGTATATATATGATGAATGCATCCATTATATTGCACAAGTTTATTATGCCTGCCTTACAGCGCCGACAATTATTATTAATTTCGTTAATAATAATAATAATTATTATTACTATTATCACTAACAACAGTGCACATGATGGTAGGACGACGTTACTCGGTAGAAACTTTCACCCAACAGCCCTCTTCCGACGGATAATGAACATTGAAAAAACTTAATGGTCTACGGCAGCGATATACCCGCGACACACACACACACACACACACACAACGTAGCGGTGGGTGAAACAAGCATTAAGACGATGACGACGACGAAAACGTTGATTTTGACGATAATGTTAGCCTGATGCAACAATTGCGGTCATGAGATGATGTCATACCTCATGATGGTGATGTCATACCTCATGATGGTGATGTCATACCTCGTGATGGTGATGATGTCATACCTAGTGATGATGGTGATGATGTCATACCTCGTGATGGTGATGATGTCATACCTAGTGATGATGGTGATGATGATGGTGGTGGTCTGCTGGCTCACACGATTATGAACGCCTAGGTGATGAAGATAGTGTGACTATGGCATGGCGGTAAAGACATGCACTGACGATACGCTAACAACTGATAACACGAATGACGATGATAATAGCTATGTAAAATGGTAACGATGACAATAAGACGATGATGATAAGATAAGAATGAGTTGGCGAATCGGTGTAGAATTCTGGTAAGAGTAGAATGTCAGTGTAGAATAAAACTCTTGAACTCCACCGTTCCATGAATCACTCCAGTTGAGAGGAGGGTGGCGCCAAACATACCAGCCAACAAACAACACCCAAACAGTTCCTATATCAAGTCTCGCATGATAAACCAGTTTCACGTGAATAGGTTGAAAGAACTAGAAGAGTTGTTACTGCTCTGTATAGCTGCTATATGTCAAGTTATTCTCAATTCAAGCAGAGTAATTCTATTTGATTCAAAGGGATGAGACCGTACTTTTACTTGCGGGCAGACGTGCGAACTGTTCTAACACGAATAACTAACCCACCTTCGACTTGAAATATTTTTCATTAATTTTAATAAACCGTGATAGGGCCACATGAACACTCGTCTCACATCTTATAACTGATCAGTTGTTCACGGCCATGTAATATTGAATCTTATTGTTTGGTTGGTTGTTTGGTTGGTTGGTTGGTTGGCTGGCTGGTTGGTTGGTGGTGTATTCCTCTGCAAGTTCACTCAAACGACATCTACCTTATATACTTCTACAGTGAGGTGTTTCTTTTCAAATTTCTCAGTTAACTGGCTGGCCGGTGAAGTTCGAGTTGGAATTCTACAAATTAATTTTCAACATTTTTGAGAGCTAGCTGCAGACAGGAAGGAAGAAGTGGAACAATACGAACGATGATGAAAATATCGATGATGATGATGATAATACAGATGATGATGGTTATATAACTGATGATGATGACGATGGTGACAGTTTCAGAGGACCTCGACGATCATCGGACGAAGAAGTTTGAGGTTCTCGTTGCCTCTGATTGGCAGTTTGTTTGATTTGTAGAAGCCAATCATGGACGAGATGCTGTCGAATGGCTGACTGAACTGACCTAAATAAATTTAAATGCTTGACTCAATTGACCTACATAAATAATTTAATGGCTGGGGCGATCTTATTTAACCAAATGAACAATTGAATTGACTGAACTGACCTACATTCTTACGAAAACATATCTAAATGAATGAAAACGACCGAGTAACTTGACCTAGATAAGAATGACCCATTTAAATAAGTAGATAAACAAATAGAAGTAGCAACCTAGAATGAAACCATCGGCTGGCTGGTGGACAATTTTAATGTGCAAGTAGCCTGACTGGTTTCTGTTTTTTGGAATGGAATGGTTGATAAATAATTAATTGATTGATTAATTGATAAATAATTGATTATTGATTAATAATTGATTGATTGATTGGTTGATTGATTGAACTGGTTAATGACGTAAAAGACAGTTGAATGACATTCATTGCAATCAACACAAGTGAGACAACATGAAAACTTCAACACTGACAATTATATTCATCTCATAATCAAACCCATTATAATTTATTAGAACAATCAACTAACCAACCAACCAACCAACCAGCCAACCAACCAACCAATCAACTAACTTGAGTGAAAGTGAATAATCTTTAGAATTACTCTCACTGACACGAACCAGATAAGAGCCCACTGGTTGGTTCTCGAGCAGTCTCTCCGCCTCCACTCGTCCAATTGAACCATGGTACCAGCTAATTATCATTCGCATATTAATTACATAATCAATCTAATTATAACATGAATATTAATTAATCTAATTAGCATAGCGAAACATTTAAACGAATCCAATCAGCACGTTAAACATGGTAAAAAATAGAGCAAAACTGGTAAACAACGACAGCAATAAAAACAAAAATAATAAATAATAACAATAACAATAATAAATAACCCTTGGTGAGGCAGTCCATCAATATTCTGAGCAACTGATGATGACGTTGTTGTTGTTGATGACGTTGTTGTTGTTGTTGTTGTAGTAGTTGTTGATGTTGTTGTTGATGTCTGCATGCCTGTAAGTTACATTAAAGTCATTATAACTCTCTATATTACATTAAATATATTATATTATTATATTAATATAATTCTCTATATTACATTACATTATATTATAATTCTCTATTAATTCAAACGGCAACCCCCGTTCTCGGGGAAAATGCCGTCTAAACATTAACTTCTCGTTTGCTGGCTGTCCATCACAATTGATGTAACATTTTCTATTTATTATCGTGATATATCACAATTGATAGAAAATTTCCAATTTACTATCTTGATATATTAACTAAATTTTTTTCATTCAACTAATCTATCATTCATTCTATCAATTAATCAATCAAACATTCATTTAATCATTCATTCATTCATCCAATCATTCAATCATTCATTCAGTCAATCAGTCATTCATCCAATCATTCATTCAATCATTCATTCAGTCAATCAGTCATTCATTCATTCATCCAATCATTCATTCAGTCAATCAGTCATTCATTCATTCATCCAATCATTCATCCAATCATTCATCCAATCATTCATTCAGTCAATCAGTCATTCATTCATTCATCCAATCATTCATTCAGTCAATCAGTCATTCAATCATTCATCCAATCATTCAATCAATCACCTTTCTTGATGTTCCTTTTCACCTTGACACAGGTCTCAGCGCCATTCATAATTACGTTCTTATTGTTATTATTATTATTAGTGATTAAATTATTGTTATTATTATTATTAGTGATTAAATTATTATTATTTCTATTTTTATTACTCCTACATTTGAGCTGTTTGTAAGAAGGCTCGCTGGCAGACTGAGATATCAAAATTCCATCCGATTTTGGCCTAATTCTATTCGATTTGATGACCTGATTAAGTTTGTCGCAATCTGATTGGTTGAGGCAATTTTGACCTGCACCATCTGATTGGCCAACGTTTGCCTGACACAACTGGTCAGTGGCATGGGCCGATGAAACGTCTTGAATCTGGGTAAGTTTGTTCAAATCTTGACCTTTGTTAACAGCAAGAACGAGGTCGCAGTCAATGGGTTCGAACCCTTTTAGATGATTGGTTGTAACTATGGTAACGAGACCACCTGACGTACAATTGCTTGAATATGATTGGCTGGAGATTATGACATCTTCATTCTCATTGGCTGGGGACAATAAAATGTCATTTACTGGCTGGTTGTCCATTAAAATATCACAAGCTATAAACTTGTCAGCAGAAGAGTTATTGGTAGGATCCATGTAAGAAAGCCCTGTTAGAGAGGAATAATGATTACTATCTTTACCGTTATCTTGAGCACTTTTATAGTCTTTCACTTCCTGAGAATTAGAGTGCTTCGTTATGCAACAGCCATTTTTGAATTTCTGAATGTTGACTCGATCGTAGAGCGTTGAATCTTCGGCACTCAAAGTTTTAATCAGAACAGTATAATCGTGGTTTTTCATTTCATCTTCTTCTCGTTTCTCATCACCATCCTCACCATCGTCATCATCTTCGTCATCACATTCGTCGTCGTCATCATCTTCGCCATCATCTTTATTCATATTAAAAGATGGTGAAATGACATTTCGCCGCTTTCTAGTCGACTCATCATCTTCCTGTCTAGGCACATCCCTATTTTGAAAAACATCTTTAATTTCTTTGATGTCTTTGTTAACATCATTAGTTTTTTCACTATTTATATCTTTGTCATCTTCTTTATCCATATCTTTTATAACTTTATTATCTATTTTCTTGTTATCTTTACTATTTATATCTTTGCTATCTTTGGTATTATCAGTATCTTCTATTTTAATTCTTTTCTGCTTGATATGTATGGTGGTTATCGTAGATGGGGAAGTTAGTTTTAGCGGTACCTTAGTTGCACAACTGCTGCTGCTGTTGTTGTTGTTGTCATTGTTGTTTGTTGCATTGATGTTGCTGCTGATGGTGGGGTGCAGACCATTTTGAAGGGTCTCCGTGGACCTATGGGCTTTTATGTCTATGCGGGTGATAATATAATAATGTTACATTTTGTTATCTATGTATGTAGTTTTCGATTATTATTTCGATCAAACTGACAAAACAACAACAACCACTACAACAACTTCATCATCAACAAATACAACAACAACGGCAACAACAACAACAGAAACTACAACAACAACTAAAACAACCTAATCATCAACAACTACAACAACCTCATCATCAGCAACTACAACAACCTCATCATCAGCAACTACAACAACCTCATCATCAGCAACTACAACAGCAATTATGGCAGCCTCATCATCAACAACCACAACAACAATAGTTACAACAACAGAAAGGAGAACGACAGCACCATAACCCAATACAACATTTTGACCCACAATAACATCAGCAGAAATCACCTTTGAGGACTTTGTTAACTTCATCGTAAGGTGTCGAGTAGTCGTCGTCATTCGCTGGGATGGTGGCCACGGAACTGTTGGTGGTTAGGTCGTGGGGGTTACTATATTCTTCCAGGATATCTGGCTGTTTGTTGTTGTTGATGGGATGTTGATGTTTTTGTTGGGGGGTGTTGTTGTTGTTGTTGCTGTAGGTGATGTTTTTGTCAGAATGATGTTGTTGTTGAAATGTTGTTTGCAGTGCATTATACAAATTTATAGAACAACCTGCACAAAGATGGCTTGATGAAACTTATGCTAATTGAACGCAGATGAATTTTTAAACAAGAAGATGGAAGTAATGTTCGAATGTCTATCTAAAAATAGATCTAATTTTTTCAAAATAAAAATGATGAATTATCTAAATTTTAATATCTGAATAAAAATAAATATAACCCACGTTACAGAAGACTATTTATAGCACAATTAAAAATAATTTATTTATTTATCAATAAAAAATAGTTTGTCAAATGTAATAGTCACAATAATAGTAGGAAACGACATGACATCCCTTCAGAAGTAGAAAAAATTTTTTCCGGAGATAAAATCAATAATCTAATATCATTCCTTCAGGAAATACAAATTTTTAATAGAATTCAAAAATAATTTCTCAAAAGTTTTAAAACAACAAAACGCATTTATAGAAAAGGAACAAAAGGCGTAAAGATAGCCAGTTGTGCTGAAACGCCGTTAAACTGCACAAACAAACAAACAAACAATTTAGGAATAAAAAATGGAACTTTTGTAAAAAAATCAAACAATACCTTATCAATAATAATGCATGCTTCTTCATTCTGAGGTGATTGTTGCTGTTGTTGATGTAGTTGATGTTTATGTTGTTTATGAAGATGGGGATTGTGCTGCCCCCCTGCCACCGTCACCCTCACAGGCACATCACTTTTTTTTGAGGGGGTGTTTTTCTGGAGTGATGAACATTGCATTTTGCCGGTGGGCTGTTGTTGATTATGATGTCCATTCAGTGAGTTTTGGTTTTTAATGACGTTGTTGGTAGTGGAGCAGGTGCTACTGCTACCACTTTTAGGGTTTTTGTTGACATCATCTAAGTTCAATTTTAAAGATCTGGTATCGTAATCTGGGGAAGCTTTCCCGACGTTAACAAGACAGTTGTTGTTTGTGTTGTTTGCGGAGATGGGGACGGAGTTTGAATTAGATGACTGATACTTGCAGGAACCTAACTCATTCACGCTGTTTGATTTTTGAGTTGTCGAGTTTGTGAACTCGGAACGCGATGTCGACACTGATTTCTTGCCACCCAGGCCAAAATGTTTTAATAATTTCGCCATTTTAACTTTTTTTAACTAAGCGTGTGGTTTCTTTGATAATGAAGTGAAGATGATGAAGGCGTTGAGCAAGATAAAAATGAAATCGACAGGAACTAATTAATGGATCGTCTGCTAATTTAGCTTACATTTTTCGTTACAATTTCTTTCTTTTAATTAAATGAAAATTACCTTCAAAACTCGCAATAATTAATCCTTTCCTGGCTAAAATTTTCAAAACATTTGCTAACTTCACTAACTGTGATTCTCTGTTTCAATTAGTTTTAATTTTGTAGCGCTCCACTTTAAAAAATATACCAAAAAATTTTGCTGGAAAAAAAAATTTAAAAATCCACAATCTTCAACAGGCTTTTCTGCTAATGCTGTTTAAAATTTCATTAATCGCAATTTTTGATGTCTAATTTTTCAATTTTTTCAAACTAGAAGCAATTTTTTCATATCATCTTCTGTCTAATCTTAACTTAACAATTACTTTTGAATCTCACATGTTAAGCGAGAATCAGTCGGCTGAAATTCTCTTGAAAAGTTCTTCAAATGTCTTTTTAATTTAACTCTAAAAGTTAAAAATGACAAGATAAGATGTTAATAATTATATATTTGAGGCGATGTCGAACTGTCATTTGTATGTAGAATAAAATAGAGAGAAAGAAATAAATTTCAAAGTTGCTAGTTGGGTTCAAAAGTTGTGATTCTCAAGTTCTGTTTTCCAGGCTTCTGCTGTCAGAATTATTTAATATATTTCTTTTTTCATATAAAATTATATTATTAATATTTGTTTAAGATTGTTAATTTTATATATTTACAATATTTATTAATTGTTCAGTAATTTGTATGTTATCAAATCTATGATTGAGTAATTTGTCTGTAGAAAACATACTCTCTTATATAGTAATTTACCACAGAGTCTGTATTAAATCAGTGCAGATGTCTGGCGTTTATCTGTTAATATTATATATAAATTATATTATTTATTATTAATAAATTATATTATATATATAAATTTTATAAAGTATTCAGTGTGTACTTTTTCTTTTTAATTTTATTTATCTCTGTTTGTATGTTTCTGTCTAAAAGTTTGAGTTTAAATGTAAACAAAGTTAAAACTTATAAACTATAGTAGTAGATTAAAATTAAATTTTTTCTGTGTTGCAAGCACTCCTTGTTTCTCTAATAATGAGAAGTAAATGCTCTTGCTTTGTGCTGATTGCCTTTAAATATTTGTATGTATAATTTTATTTATAAAATATTAATCTGTTTTATTTCATATTTTTTTAACAGGCTAACTTGCTTGTTACTCTCACTATAAATAAGTGAGAAACCATTCAAGATATCATTTTGTTTGGGCAGAAGTTGTTTCAGTCCACAGGATAATACAACCTGTGACTGATTGTTTTATGTTACCCTACTTTACTTATTAGCTGAGTTAGTTTTGGTTGAATTTTGTTTAGCTTTTAAAAGTTTGAAAGGTTTGATTTGTTGTGTTGTCAACAGTTGAATCAGTTTTCTTTTGTATTCAACATTTGCTATTTTAAATCTGTTATAAATGATGCTTAGTAGGCTATCTCAGGCTAAATATTATCTCTGGTTAAAAAATATCTCAATGTAATAGCTACATAAAATTAAGTAAATGATTTGATTCATTCCTATTCATACTCTCAGGGTTATTGTTAGTTGGAGCCTCACTGTCCTAATCCTCCTACACTAATCATTCCAGCCAGAAACCAACCACCATGGAAACGTACGTGAAGTTGGCTCAGACATTCGCAGGGAGGGACAAATTGATGAGAACGACTGGGTACACACTCGCGCTGATTTCCAGCACGTTGAATGGCGACTCGAGTAAGAAGTTGTCCATCGTTGCAAAGCAGATCAGTTCTGCGAGGATCATAATGAGACTGTTCGATGACATTCCTGGGTTCAACAACACCAAGAAGATGGGGGCAGATGTTAGTGGGTTGGTTGGCTGGCTGGCTGTTTAATTGATTGATTGATTGATTGATTGATGGATTGATTGATTGATGGATTGATTGATTGATGGATTGATTGATTGATTGATTGATTGATTGATTGATTGATTGATTGATTGATTGATTGATTGATTGATTGATTGATTGATTGATTGATTGATTGATTGATTGATTGATTGATTGATTGATTGATTGATTGATTGATTGATTGATTGATTGATTGATTGATTGATTGATTGATTGATTGATTGATTGATTGATTGATTGATTGATTGATTGATTGATTGATTGATTGATTGATTGATTGATTGATTGATTGATTGATTGATTGATTGATTGATTGATTGATTGATTGATTGATTGATTGATTGATTGGTTGATTGATTGACACTGATGGTAAATAAAATGATTGAAAACCCCGACATGCACCAAGCAGGAGAGAGATAAGGTGTGCAGAATTCTAACCATCATCTCAAACATCTCCACACAAGTCTTCTACCCATGTGAACATATTGCCTGGATGACTGACCTCGGAGTTTTGGGTTCGTTCATTCATTCATTCATTAATTTATTCATTCATTCATTCATTCATTTGTTTTATTTATTTATTCCTCTTTTCAATTTTTTTGTATTTTTGGTAATAGGAAAATCATCGAGGAGCTGGTGGGCGGCCAGTACGAGCTGCTGGGCGCTATCGTTACTGTGTAGTTTTTTAAAGTTTGTGGGAGGTGATTGAATAAATGAATGAATGAATGAATGAATGAATGAATGAATGAATAGATGCATGTATAATGAATGATGAACCAATGAATGGATGAATAACAAAAAAAGAATGAATGAATGAATAATTGTATTGATAATAAAATATTGTTGATTAATGGATTGATTGATTAGCTGATGGAATGAATGAACGAGTGAGTGAATGAACGACCGATAGGATGAACGAATGAAAGAATGAACGAATGAATGATTGATTAAATGAATGATTGATTGAATGAATGATTGATTGAATGAATGAATGATTGAAACCTGCAGAAACGTGAAAAAGTTGATAATGTTGAGAGAGAAGGAGTTATTGTTACGGAATCAACACGAGATTCAACTGCTGGAGTGTGGAGTCAGGTGCTGATGACGATTGTTGCTGTTGTTGTTGCTGCTGTTGTTGTTGTTGTTGCTGTCGTTGTTGTTTTTGTTGTTAGAATGATGACGATGACGATGCATTTAAAAATTGGAAATATTTTTCCTCCTGGAATTCATCCCACAGCTCCGAATCATCATCATCATCATCGTTACCATCATTATCTCAATTCCTGTTCAGCTCGTCATCATCATCATCATCTTTAACATCGTCATCATCACCGGCCTCCAAAGAACTCTTACTAAACAAAGAACAAACAATTGACGAGTTTTTAAATCTCTTGAAAAATTTGTTCGACTTCATATTGGCCGTCTCCATGCTACCCTGGCAGGGGTTCCTCTGGGCTGGTAGGGCTACCCAGAGAAAGAAAGCAATTTTTGGTTGGGGCTCTTATTATTATTATTATTATTATTATTATTATTATTATTATTATTATTATTATTGCTATCGTTGTTGTTGTTATTCGTCTTCCTCTATCTTGCCTTTCTTTCATGGAAACTTTCTTTTGAAGAACGCCTCCCTTCATGAATTCGTTCATTGAGAAACTTTTTAAGGGTCCCATTCAACATTTGAAATGGGGCGACGGCAAGCCCTGTTGACCCGTTCGCCTTCCACCCTCCCTACGCTACCGTCTTAATATTATTATTATTATTATTATAGTTGATTTTATTATTATCACTTATTATTATTTATTTATTATATATTATTGTGTTGATTAATAATCTCTTAATTATTGAAATAGAAATATAAACTTCCAGGCATAATATCGTCCCTCTCGTCATTGGCCCTCCTGATCAGATCCCATAATAGGAATAATAATAAGAATAATAATCACAATAATAATAAGAAAAATACTGATAATAAGAATGAATGAATGAATGAATGGCTTTTGTGTTTTTCAATTATATTTCACGGACGGCATGTTCGATCGTTCGCTTGTTGCACACTCGGGTTCAACTAAATAAAATTGAATAAACTTTTAAATGACTTTTCTTTGGTTAACGAGGTAGTGGCGAATGAACGTTGGTGACCACGTGATGATGGTGGTGATGATGATGGTGGTGATTTAAGACGATGATGATACTGATTCAGACCTTTAATATATAAGTCTTATGAACAGGCACGAATGTTTGTTGAAATGTCACTACACAAAAAATGTATATATACATATATATAATGTGTGTGTGTGTGTGTGTGTGTGTGTGTGTGTGTGTGTGTGTGTGTGTGTGTGTGTGTGTGTGTGTGTGTGTTAAAAGAGGAACTTGCATGCAAACGTTTGAAAAGTTAACGCTTCAAAAATCTGTCGATTCATGATCTGCCGCGGTCGGCTGGTGGTGACCCGCGTGCGAATGCGCAGTCACGTGAGTCTGTGACGTCATCGGTTGGCTTTCTTTCGCGTCGTGTGATTGGTCCTGCCCTCTGACCGGCCCCATTAACGGCACGTGACATATAAACTGTTTCTTGCCCATGCCTCGTCCTAACTTGCGGTTATGGAGGACAGCGTTGAGGTCGTTCATTAGGTCACCTCTTCCGGCCGCCATCTTGTTTTTTGATGCACTTCCGGTTGGTTGAGAGGAAGGCATGATAGGTCTCGCCTTGCCCGGGACATGTTGGTGTTCCTCAGGGACGTGTTTCAATCGGGCCTGATGTGGTGACGGTGATTATGAATGATGAAGATGATTTTTTATGACCATTTTATTCATCCGCTCATCCATTCATCCACTAACTTGTTGGAAGCCCCCAGCCCCTCGGATGGACTCCAGCAAGTTGTTCCTCTTCTCTGCGTGGTCTACCTCCAGGGTCAGCCCACTCACCGGAAGTTGGATGACGTCACTTCCGGGTGGAGGGGGAGGTACGTAGTGGGATATGTAGCTGAGTGGGTGCGTGCGTGGAGACAAATGAATGAAGGAATGATGGGTGGGTGGAAGAATGGAATGTAGAATGAATGAATGCAGGGCCGAATCAACCAATTATAGAAAAATGGCTCGTAGATTCATGCATCATAAAAATGTATAATTAAAGTCTAGGGTCGGTCGAGGGCCTCTAATCCGGCCCTGAGTGAAGGAATGAATGAATGAGTGAATGAAGGGATGAATAAAACGATTAGATGAGTTTTTCGAATAAACTAGAATATATAAATGAAGTGGTTTTTTTTCTTCATTATATGATGATCACCCACTAACTTCATATTTAAGGGTTGTGAGAATTATTCGATATACTCCCCAAAAAAATTCAACACTTTATAACTGTATAGATGATTTTATCCTAACAACAATTAACTATTTGTTTATCCGTTTATTTATTTATAACTTTATTTCATTAAAAAATAATTAAATTATGTTTATTACATACAGTTTAACTTTAAAGTTTTTACATCATAAGAGTTAGTCAGGCCAGTTTAATCACATCCAGTTTCGTCTTTTTTATTCAAGAAAAAATGTCTCTGTCATATGTTTTGTTAGATTATAATGTAAGAATTTATGGTAATAATAATAACAATAATAATAATAGAAATAATGATATTTATTCACAGCTTTTCAAGTTCAAAGTTGTTTGTTTTCCATGCAAGATGCGAATTCTTCCTATTTCTTCTTCTTTTTCTTTTTCTTCTTCTTCTTCTTCATCATCATCATCATCATCTTCTTCTTCTTCTTCTTATTATTATTATCCTTTAATAAGCATTGCATTTTTTCCAAGCAATAAACTTAGCTTTCCCAGGCAGCTAAACAAGAATTTCTGAATTTCTGCTTATGGAAGTTTTATTTCCAAACAGTAATAATTAATTTGTATTATATTCAGTTTAATTTAAATCATGTTTTGTTTATATTGCAATTATTTTTATTTTTCAAGTTTTAAATAATAATATAATCACCCAAATTTTCATTACTTTACATTTGTATTAATTTACAATAGCATCCCTATTTTTTAATAGAATTTACTTTTATCATTTAAGTTTACTTTTCACAAGGATCCAATTATTTACTATGTTTTAATTTGATAAAATATTGTAAATAAAATACGGTTTCGGGACTAATTTTTTTCCCTAATTTTTTTCGTTATTTGTATTTACGATTCACGTAAAGTATGAACGCTGAATATTCCAGTTTGTTATTTCCCATTTTAAAAAAAACTTCTTCCTTATTTTTTTTAAATTTAATTTTTAATCTAATTCTAATAATTAAATTATATAATATTTTATTTATTTTATTAAATTTTTTATCTTAATTAATAATCATATATTTTTTCATTATTTTAATAATTTAATTTTAATTAATTTTTAATGTACTGAAACTTTTCAAAAAACGTATTTCAATTTCATTTCATTAACTGTTAAGTGTTAACATTAATTAGCCAATCCCCAATTGTTCGTTATTTTTAAAAAATTTATTTAAGTTAGCTAAGTAATGAGTGTTTTAAAATACAAATGCAAGGTATGTCTATTAATTATATTTTTCATTTTATTCTCTGTTAGGTCAGTGAAATGTGATAAAAAATAAAGATAGATGAAAGAGAGAGAGGGAGAGAGATAAAGAAAAGAAAACTAAAGAAAGGGTTCAATCCTAAACGAACTTGACAAGCCTTTGTTGGAGGAGAAATTAGTGAAGTAGGAAAAGGTTCTCTAGAGAGTGAAGTAACAAAATCAGATTATTAAGAAAAGATGAAGGTCGAGAAATTATGGTATGAAAGAGAGAGAGATAGAGAGAGAAGAGAGATAGAGAAAGAGATAGAGAAAAAAATATGTAAAAATTAGTAGGAGAAAGAAAGAGAGAGATTGAGAAAGAGTGCAAGTATGTTAAAGAGAGAGAGAGAAAGAGAGAAAGTAAGAGAGAACTTTGAGAGAGAGAGAGAGAGAGAGAGAGAGAGAGTGAGGGTAGAAAGGCCATAAGTGAATAAGCTCCTTTAGGCAACCAACCATCCCATTCATCTTAGTCTGTGTATTCCCAATTAGCACATCATTCACAACAATTATGCTACCTATATGATAGATGACATTTGCTTGAATACTCCTACAAAATCTAATTCAAATTTCCAAAATCATCGTCATCATCACTAACGAAAACTTCAAGATCATCATCATCATCATCATCACCACCTAAAACTTCAAGATCATCATCACCACCACCACCAACTCCAAGATCATCATCATCACCACCAACTCCAAGATTGCCATCAGGAGAGGGAGGGAGATATGGAATGTTCCGGATGGAGTTTACTTTTAAACAACAACGATGATGATAATGATGACGATGGGCGTGGTGTTGGTAGTGGTGGTGGTAGTGGTGGTAGAAATGGCGATTGTGGTTGTGGCGCTTTGGGATTGGAAAGGAATTATAAGTTAGGATGGTGCTTTGTGGGTTTGTGGTTGCGCGCCTCTGACTGATGATGATGATGATGGCGGTGGTGATGATGATGTTGATGATGATGATGATGGCGGTGGTGATGATGATGTTGATGGTATTGACGGTGGTGGTGATGGTGATAATTTTTAGTAAATAATAATAATAATAATCTCGCATTGTAGATCATTGGATGTGGAATTCCCCTCAAGAAAAGACCTATTTGCTGATAAAGATTCTCATCATTTCAACAGCCACAACAACAACAACAACAACAACAACAACAACAACAACAATAATAATAATAATAATAATTATCACAAGAGGCACTTGTTCAACTTCAGAACAACATACAAGGCAACGGAAATGTTGAAGAATAGATTGCTGATTGCTTGGGTCAATGCAAAAAATGGTGTGTGTGTTCGTGTGTGTGTGTGTGTGTGTGTGTGCGTGCGTACGCGTGTGTGTGTGTGCGTGTGTATGTGTGTCAAGAATACCTTGAACGCCTACAACGCCATCATCATCGTCAACACCACCATCATCATCTTCATCGTCACCACCATCATCATCATCATCGTCGTCGTCAACATCATCATCATCACCACCACCACCACCATCATCATCATCATCGTAGGTTGGGTCAGCCGGACGGCCTCAGAGTTCAAAAACGACCCGCCCCTCTGGATGTTGGGGAGAAATTATGACGGTGAGAACAATGGGGAGTCCTTTATTTTTCCAAAATAGTAATATAAATCTACAAATTAAATGAGATGAAAATAGGGTAGGATAAATTAAAATAAAAAAGAATAAAATAAAAATTAAAAATCGGTTATGTAGTCTACGATGCTCGCCATTATATGTCTGTGTGTGTGTGTGTGTGTGTGTGTGTGTGTGTGTGTGTGTGTGTGTGTGTTACATCGAAATAGTAAATGTTTAATCGGAATAAAGTATGTACAACTAGAGTTTAAAGAGCAGTCCAAAAGCAGTTAGGATACACTCGAGTTTCTGTCGCAATGAATGGCATATGATGCTGATATTGGCGAGTTAGTCAACGCTTAAGATCCTCTTATTTATTTAATAAGTCAGATAGAATTAAACTTACAAGGTTGTCAAATCGTTAAAAAATTGCTCAGATCAAATAAAAGTCACCGGCGCTAAGGTGAAATGTTTTAAGAAGCCTAGTGCGGAGATTTCATATAATATATATGAAATTATATTATATTGAATTTATATTTATATTATATAGTTATGTTCTGGTATTTAGTTATATAGTTATATTCTGGTATGTAGTTCTCTGATGTGTTGACGTTGGATTCGTGACAGACTGCCAATTCGAATATTTCGATTGTATCTAAATGAATGAATGAATGAATGAATGAATGAATGAATGAATGAATGAATGAATGAATGAATGAATGAATGAGTGAATGAACGAACTAATGAATAAATGGTAAAGTACAAAAAGTGACAAATAGCTGGTTATATCACCTCGTGGGAGTGCTATATCGGGCCGGCCGCCGTGATTTGAAAAGGGACGAGACTGAGACAAAATGGTCTTCTCAGCCAAAATTGTAACCAATCCAGTTTTCTGCAGAATCAAAGACAGTATTTCATTATGGCGCGTTGTATATCTTTTTAGAGCTGCGACGGAACCGCAATCTGGCAGGACGTGTTTGTCTGGGGTGCGTTACAGAGAGGACACGATGCGTTGGAAGACTTACCCAATGTGGAGAAATTGACATTTGTAGGAAGTTGTTGAATTAATGCCTTCCTAACAAATTTGAACAATTGGGACGTGATCTTTTATGCGTTACATGAAATAAACTTGTTAAAAAGAAAAAAAAACCTATGATCGATTTAACAATTGTCCCCTGGCATTTCAGTTAGGACAGATGTGCGAGATAAGATTCATGTTGAGCTGTCGAGAGCTTTATAAGTTTTGGTTTTACGTCAGTTGAATCAGGAAGGATGTTGTCGGTTGTCGACTTTGATGAAACTGTTGTGAGATTTCGTCCGTAGACATTGTATCTCATTGTATCTCATTGTATCTCATTGCATCTCATTGTATCTCATTGTATCTCATTGTATCTCATTTTATCTCATTGTATCTCATTTTATCTCATTGTATCTCATTTTATCTCATTGTATCTCATTTTATCTCATACCTCACGATTTCAGGTTGTGGCGGAGTTTGACCCTTAACCTTTCAGGGTAATGTTTAAGTGATCTCAAGTTTAGTCCTCATAGTTTATTAGGCAGTGAGATATACTCCGACACACAGCTGCTAACTGGAGAGGATACCAGTCTCTTACCGATTCTGCGATAATAATAATAAATAATAATAATAAATAATAATAATAATAATATTGATAATAAAAAATAATAATAATGGTGATGGTGATTTCATCTTCACTCAGATGTGGACACCTTTAAAGGAGAGTTCTCCAAACTGGCCTGGATAACATATAGACAGGGATTCGAAAGTTTATCGCCATCATCGTCGTCGTCGCTGACGTCATCATCGTCGCTGACGTCATCATCGTCGTTGTCATCGTCCTCGCCGGCAATACCATCCCTGGTCGTTAAGGACGTGATGATGTCGTTATCGGCATCTCTACAGTTGCAAACGCCATCATCGTCGGCAAAACCCTCATCATCATCATCGTCGGCGCCACCATCGTCGACACAATCCACAGGCTCTAAATTTGGAAGCCAAACACGACAACATCAACATCGTCATCATCATCAGCAGCAACAACAACAACAGCAGCAGCAGCAACAACAACAACAGCAGCAACAACAACAACAACACGTGACAACAGATGTTGGCTGGGGCTGCATGTTGAGATGTGCCCAGATGTGCCTGGCTCACGCCATCCAAGAGTATTGGACCAACAATGTGAAGGTGATGAGTAAGGATGGCGACGACGATGATGGCGACGATGACGACGATCGCTCGTATGATGACTACAGCTACCTCGATAGCTACTTCTCAAACAGCACTGTCAGCGGCCACTGTAACTTCAACGGTTATGATGATGGTGATAAGATAACTGCCAAGAAAAATATGAACTACAACAGTTTTGGCACTCACGACAACAACAACAACAACAACAACAACAACAACAACAATACCCTTTTAACATTTCGCGATCTGATTGCTCTGTTCGGTGACCAATCAAATTCCAGCTGCATATTCTCGCTCCATTCATTGGTTCGTGAGGGTGAGAACTGGGGCAAGATGATCGGCCAGTGGTATGGTCCCTCTTCTGTCTCTTTGACTGTTAGGTTGGAGCAGTGTGGTGGTGGTGATGATGATGACGATGACGATGTTGATGACGATGATGATGATCCTGATGGTGATAATGATAGATATCTTAAATGTTAATTTTTTTCGTTATTGCTTTTATGATTAAATAATAATATTCTAACATAGAAATGTATTGAGACGGCACCAAAGAACCATGAAGAAAAAATTGATTAAAAGTGAATTGACAGACGCCAGGCAAAGAGCAAAAAATCTTCTTGATTTCGATATCTATGTTGCCCAAGATTCATCTGGTTCGTGACAATAAGAATAGTGGCGTTTATTTATTATCGTTATTATTATCATCATCATCATCATCATCATCATTATTATTATTATTATTATTATTATTATTATTATTATTATTATTATTTTAAACTATCATTAATTAATTTTATCTGGTCTGACCCTTTAATAGAAGTTTAATTAACTCGGTAGCATCGTCATCTTACGCAATTTACTGTGACAGAAACACGATTTGAACATAATTTAATGCCGATTCTATTTCTATTTGTATCCACTTACAATGTATGACTGGCATTGTAGAATATCTATATAATTCACATTATAACTTTTATTACTTTAACTTTATGATTACAATGTGTGCTTTGAAATGAAAACAAGAGGATGTTCTCATCATTATTATTATCGCCATGAGAAAAGCTTTTTGAATATGGCCAAGTATTTCTCTATAACTTGCAAAATAATTATAAACACTTATAATTATAAACAATTATAAACAATAATTGTAACCGATAGTTTATAAACACTCTAGCCTTATAATCAATACATTGGAATGCTAGCCTAGGTCTAGGTCTTTTTCTCTCGGTCGTTTTAATGCTTTTGATCTCTCTCTCAGTAACTCAATATGGTCTGATGATTTCATCGACAATCTCACTCATACAGCAAGTTCTTCGTCATTTATTATAATATTTACTCTGATAGAAATTGAATGAACCATTTAGGACAAATCTCTGCTCTCGTGATAAACATTCTTTTCACAAGATGACGAGCTTCGGAGATTATTTCACATCTTATTTTTTTTTTTTTTTTTTTTTTTGTCCCAGCTACTAATAACAACAACAAAAACAACAAAAATAATTTAGCTATATATATATTTTTAATTTTGGATTATAATCGACAATTATTGTTTCTTTCATTTCATGCATGTTTTTATGAAGAAAATAAAAAATTGGGTTCACCATCACCTCAATCAGTTTACATGAAAGATGTCTTGGACGCGTTCAAGTGCCATTCCTGTCGCCGTCGTCATCCCAACAACAACAACAACGATAATAATAATAATAATAATGTCACCACCAACAACAACTACAACGACGACGACGAAAACAACAAAGTCAAGAACCACAACAACAAGACAATCAGCGGCAACAACTACAGTATATCACTTGATGACGGTGAGCACTGTGACAGCATTAAAATCCTCATAACACCAAAAACAACATCATCAACAACATCAACAACAACATCAAAAACAACATTATCAACAACATCAACAACAACAACAACGAAGACAATAGCATCAGCCACAACAACAAGAGCAACAACAAAAGCTGCAACAACTAAAACATCTACAAAGACAATAACAACAACATCAACAACAACTACATCGGCTTCAACTACAACAACAAAGACGATGATGACCATCCAGACACCAGCACCTCAAACATCAACAACATCAACAACAACATCATCAACAACAACATCAACAGCAACCAAAAAGACGATGATGATAATAATCCCGATACGATTGGGTGAGGAGGTGATAGAAGGAAGGTACAGGGAGCATTTGAAGGAGGTCTTCCGGTGGAGATGGTGCGCCGGGGTCATGGGGGGCAGGCCAAAACATTCCCTCTACTTTGTCGGGGTTCAAGGTCAATCAGTGGTGATGATGATGATGTTGTTTGTTTTGGTGACGATATTTTTGTTGTTGTTGTTTACGATGATGACGATAATGATGATGATGATGATGGCGACGACTATGATGATGATGATGATCAAAATGTTCTTTAACTTTCACCCACCCAACTTCATCATCATCTTCATCATCATCATCTTCATCATCATCATTCTCATCATCGTCATCATCATCATCATCATCAGGTGACGAGTTGATATACTTGGATCCACATTGTTGCCAGGATGTTGTTGATGTCTTGAAGCCAAAATTTTCAACATCGGTCCGTATCTTCAGTTATTCATTTATAACTCATTTAGTTCGTTCGTTCGTTCATTCATTCATTCATTCATTCATTCATTCGTTCGTTCGTTCGTTCGCTCGCTCATTCGTTCGTTCGTTCATTCATCCATTCATTCATCCATCCATCCATCCATCCATTCATTCATTCATCCATTCATTCACTTACAGACCTACCACAACAAGCAGCCGTTGAAAATCCCCGTGAGCAAGTTGGATCCAACGCTGGCTGTGGTCTTCCGCTGCCATGGCGTCAACGACTTCATGGAACTGTGTCTTCGCGTCAAGCAGGTTGTGATGATGATGGCGATGATGATGATGATGATGATGGAGGTGATGATGATGATGATGGCGGTGATGATGATGATGATGATGGAGGTGATGATGATGGAGGTGATTGAGGTTAGTTTTTGAACATTCTACAGTATGAACAGAAGCTGATTGAAGAGCGTCGACGACGACAACCACCACAGCCACCACCACAGCCACCACAACCACCACCACCACAACCTACGTTAAAAATTTCTCAAAAGAATAAGCAAGGACACGTTAAACCTACTAGCGCCACCACATCTGCTGCACCAGCCGCAACATCATCATCGTCATCATCATTTTATTCAACATTGATTTCAACGCTCTACCCAGCACCAGCAACAACAACAACAACAACAACAACAACAACAACAACAACAACAACAACAACAAAATATCAGCCCAATTATTCCA